GATTTCAATTTGGTTTTTTAAAAATTTTTCAAATTTAAAATTTTTTTTTTAAATTTTTTTAGCAATTCAGATGGGAAAAGGGGCACTTTGATGAAAGGGAAATTTTTGGGGGGGGGGCCACAGAGAAACCGGAAAAGTCATATGGGGGGGCTGCAGGGCTCGTGGGTAATGGTGCTTAGAATAAAAAGGAAATTAAAACCGTTCCCCCTCCTGTTTTATTTTTTCAATTCAACGTTCAACCCCAAAAAGATTTCAGCATTTTCATCCATTTCTGTATTTCCTGCACCTCATTTGAGATCATTTCCACACTGCTACGTAGGCTGCATGATATGGGCAACTAATCTGTTTTATTTTTAACCTAATATTGCAAATGCGATTTAGATCAAAACTTGGGTGAACTGTTGGCATCATGAAAATAGAATGGTTATTAATTCTATAGTTAGAATATATTAGTGGGCACTTTGAATACAGTGTTGTTTGACATGACAACAAATTAACGTTATTGTGACCGAGTAGGAACCAAAGTGTTGGTCAGCGTTTTCTAGGGGACCCTATAATCTTTGGCTACATTTAAAAGTTTTCTAGTTACTTCATGTAGTCAGAGAGGAAGAGGAGGAGGAGGAGGAGAGAGGCCTCCCTCCGGCAGGTGGCATGTTTGCGTTGTTTCGTCCACCAAGAAAGGAGTTTTTGTATGAAGGTCAATGAGTTACAAATTTGGTCAACAAAAAAATGAATGGCTTATTTTCTACGTGAGGTTTATTTTATCGAATAGAAGGTTAGTAATGCCTAAGTTGTTACTGATAGAAGTAGGACACGACATTCCGGCAACTTTGAGAAAAAAACACTTTATATCGGAGTTGTCTCGAGATGGCTATGCATATTCATGGCATTAGGCTAATAGCATAGCATCTCTCTCCACAGAATACAGGCGGTTGACGTCAACAACCCTCATCAAAAAATAAAATAAAGGATTACTATAATGAGATGTATCCACCAATCCAAAGAAAGAATAGGGGGAGCTAGACAGCCCTCCGTGCCGCTTTGTGGCCAATGACTCCCATTGTTAAGGCGGAGACACATGTATCTTGTCAATATATCCATCATCTTTGATGTAGCTAACGTTCATGCTTCGCCTATACCTCTTTGATGTAGAAGATACTGTTGCACAAACAACATGCTGATCAAGGCCTACAACTGAATTAGCTACGTTTGCTCTGACTCAGTACATTTATTAGATAACTAGCTAGCCAGCTAACTAGCGATTAGCATTAGCGGCTAACGCGATTTAGCCACAACTTGCTAAGAAAAGACAAACTAGCTGTTTGCAGACAGTAAGAAACAAAACTAATAGTGTAATTATAGAACGCTTGTGGATTTATATAAAAAAAGCAGAGTGGAAACAGCATCGTTGCCATCCATGTGCTGCCGTGCGGACTGAACGCAAGTGGTCTCGTGGTCGCTCCTTGAGTGACGGGGCGGGGCTAGGTCTGTGTGGAAAGCGGCATGGATAGACCGAGAGAGGTCACACCCACAAAGAATTTGAAAACAAATCAAACATTGATAAACTCCCATATCTGTTAGGTGAAATACAACAGTGTGCCATCACAGCAGCAAGCTTTGTGACCTGTTGCCATGAGAAAAGGTCAACCAGTGGAGCACAAACAACATTGTAAATATCACCCGTATTTATCTGTTTATTTATCCTCCCTCACTATTCATGCTAAAACTATTTGCATTGTTAAAACACAATGTGCAATAATATAGCTGATAATATAACACTGATAATATAACACTTCAAATGTCTATCTTTTTCGTTTACCTTTTTGTGTGCAATATTCACTGTTATATTCTAATAGTTTTTGGTGTTTCTGTGTTTTCTCACTTGTCTATTTCACCTGCTTTGGCAATGTTAACATACGTTTCCCATGGCAATAAAGCCCTTTGAATTGAACTGAGAGAGACTCATCAAGTAGCGGAGGAAACTATAAAAATGGACGTTACACACGGCGGAGTAGAGTATCAGTTTTAACAAACCAAACATTGAAATACCGTTATAGAAGGTAAAGTGAAAACCCAAATTGGTATATAGTAAAATACGGTATACCGCCCAGCCCTAATATGCATCTCTAAGGTCACAGTTATCATCTAATCTGTTAGGTCACAGTTATCTTCTAATCTAATACGTTAGGGTCACAGTTATCATCTAATCTAATCTGTTAGGGTCACAGTTATCATCTAATCTAATACGTTAGGGTCACTGTATCTTGGTAAGTAGGTGCCCATAACATCTCTTGCACCGTTGAAGTGGATGTTCTCTCTCTCCATCTTCCCTCAGTTCCTCTCTCCTCGCCTCCTTCTCAAAACACATTGGAGTTCCTCCGTTTAGCCTCTCTCCTACAATGTGTTTGGAGAAGGAGAGAGGATGTGAAGAATCAAAGACGGACTAATTGAGAAATCACCATGGTGTCTTAACAGAACCCTTTTCTCTTTCCCAGATGGACATCAATGAGATGACCAAGCCGTGGGGTCTGGAGGTAGACAGGGTGGAGCTGACTGTAGGTGGTGTCCTGAAGCCCCCAGAGGACTCTCCATCTGGGCTTGGCTCTGTCATCCTACCCCCCCTCTATCCCCTGGTCTCGAGGGCCTGGCCGGACCAATACAACAGCTGGCTATGCACTTCCTGGGCAACATGGCTGGCAGTAAACAATGAATCTCCCCTGGTTAGGACAGGTACTGTCACATAGTAACAATTGAAGCTCCCCTGGTTGGAGGACAGGTACTGTCACATAGTAGCAATGAAGCTCCCCTGGTTAAGGGCCTTCATCACTTTCGTAGCAGCGTTGTAGTTCAGGTAGTCCTCTCCGGTTTCATTTAGCAGAAGCTCTTATCCAGGAGTGACTTACAGTAGTTTAGTACATTGTACAGTTTAGTGAGTCATTTAGCAGAAGATGGTTTCCTCCATTGGGGTGTCAGGACAGAGAAGAGCTTGGACTGGGCTGAGGGGGAGCTGCCCTCCCTTGGGGTCCGGGACAGAGAAGAGCTGGGACTGGGCTTAGTGGGAGCTGCCCTCCCATTGGGGGTGCCAGGAACAGAGAAGAGCTGGACTGGGGCTGAGGGGGAGCTGCCCTCCCATTGGGGTGTCAGGACAGAGTAAGAGTGGGACTGGGTGAGGGGGAATTGCCCTCCCATTTGGGGTTGGGAGGACAGAGAAAAGTGGGACGGGGCTGGGGGGGGATCCCTCCCATTTGGGGTGCCAGGACAGAGAAGAGTGGACTGGGTAGGGGGAGCGCCCCCCCATTTGGGGTTCCCGGGCAGAAAAGAGTGGGACTGGGGCTGAGGGGAGCTGCCCTCCATTGGGTCAGGACAGAGAAGAGCGGGACGGGCTGAGTGGGACTGCCTCCCATTGGGGTGCCCGGGGCGAGAAGAGGGGACTGGGCGGAGGGGGAGCTGCCTCCCTTGGGGGTCAGGACAGAGAAGAGGGGACTGGGGTGGGGGGAGTGCCCTCCCTTGGGGTGTCGAAAAGAAGAGCTGGGGTGGGGTAGGGGGAGCCCCTCCCATTGGGGGGGGCCCGGACAGAGAAGGTGGGACTGGGCCCTTTTAGGGGATGCCCTCCCCTTTGGGGGCCAGGGCGAGAAGACTGGGACTGGGGTGAGGGGGGGCTGCCCCCCCCATTGGGGTCCGGCAGAGAAAAAGCGGGACTGGGTGAGGGGGAGTGCCCTCCCCCGGGGGGTGTCCCCAAAAAGAGAAGATGGGACTGGGCGAGGGGGGGGCCCCTCCCATTGGGGTGCAGGAAAGAAAAGCTGGGATGGGGCGGGGGGGTGCCCTCCAGGGGGTGCCGGACAGAGAAGAGCGGGACGGGCTGAGGGGGCTGCCCTCCCATTGGGGTGCCAGGACAGGAAGAGTGGGGGCTGGGTTGAGGGGAGCTGCCCCCCCATTGGGGGGGGCCCACAGAGAAGAGCTGGGACTGGGGGGAGGGGGGGCTGCCCCCCTTGGGGTTTTTCAGGGACAAAAAAAAACTGGGACTGGGCGAGGGGGAGCTGCCCCCCATTGGGGTGTCAGGAAGGAAAAAAGTGGGACTGGGGCTAGGGGGGGTGCCCCCCCATTGGGGGCCGGACAGAGAAGAGCTGGGATGGGGTGAGGGGGGGTGCCCTCCCATTGGGTGCCAGGGCAGAGAAAAAAGTGGGGGGGCGGGGGGGGGCCCTCCCCTTGGGGGGTCAGGGCAAGAAGAGCTGGGATGGCTTTGGGACTGCCTCCCATTGGGTTTCCAGGCAAGGAAAGTGGGCGGGCTGAGTGGGAGCTGCCCTCCCAAAAGGGTGCCAGGCCAGAAGGCTGGGCTGGGGAGTGGGGCGCCCCCCCCTTGGGGGTGCCAGGGGAGAGAAAGTTGGGCTGGGCGAGTGGGCTGCCCTTGTAAAGGGGGGGGAGGGTCAAGAGACGAGGGGAGAAAAAGATGCTAATGTTTTTGGGGGGGTGGGTTTGAGCATACCTGAAGGGAGGGGGGGGCAGTTCCCTGCTGCTCGTAGGTAAGCCCATGGTCTTGAAGTGGGGGGAGTTCAATGGAACCCAGGGGGAGTGTGCGGCGGAGGGGGTGACATGGGAGAATTTGGGAAAGGTTTTTGAAACACCGGCGGGCGCAGCTTCTGGATAAATTGCGGGGGTTTGATGGCACAAGCGGGGAGCCCAGTCAACAGTGAGTTGCAGTAATCCAAACGGGAGATGACAAGTGCCTGGATTAGGACCTGCGCCGCTTCCTGTGTGAGGTAGGGTCGTACCCTGCGGATGTTGTAGAGTATGAACCTGCAGGAGCAAGTCACTGCTTTGATGTTTGCAGAGACTGTCTGGGTGTTGTCCAGGGTCACGCCAAGGTTCTTTGCACTCTGGGAGGGCGACACTGTGGAGTTGTCAACCGTGATCCAAGCTGAGATATCTGCCAGGCACGCAGAGATGCATCTCACCACCTTGGTGTCAGAAGGGGGGAAGGAGGAAAGAAGTTGAGTGTCATCCACATAGCAATGATAGGAGAGACCATGTGAGGATATGACAGAGCTGAGTGACTTGGTGTATAGAGAGAAGAGGAGAGGGCCTAGCACCGAGCCCTGGGGGACACCAGTAGTGAGAGTACGTGGTGCAGACACAGATCCTCTCCACGTCACCTGGTAGGAGCGGCCTGCCAGGTAGGATGCAATCCAAGAGTGTGCAGAGCCTGAGACGCTCAGCCCTGAGAGGGTGGAGAGAAGGATCTGATGGTTCACGGTGTCGAAGGCAGCGGATAGATCTAGGAGGATGAGAACAGAGAGAGAGTCAGCTTTGGCAGAGCGGAGAGCCTCCGTGACACAGAGAAGAGCAGTCTTGGTTGAGTGACCCGTCTTGAAGCCTGACTGGTTAGGGTCAAGAAGACCGTTCTGAGAAAGATAGCGAGAGAGTTGGTCAGAGAGTGTTTTGGAAAGAAAAGATACCAGTCTATAGTTTTTTGACGTCAGAGGAGTCGAGGAATGGGAGGTCTTCAGAGATGGTCTGGAGGAGGGAATGGGGTCGAGGGTGCAGGTTGTCGGGAGGCCAGACTTCACTAGTCGCAGGATGTCATCTGGAGAGAGAGGGGAGAAAGAGGTCAAGGCGTAGGGTAGTTCTGTGGGAGTGGGACCAGTGGACTCAATAGGCTGAGTGAATGAGTAGCGGCTGTCGTCAACCTTCTTCTCAAACTGGTCCGCAGAGAGGGAGGGGGAGGGGTGCTGGATTAAGGAGTGAGGAGAAGGTGGAAAAGAGTTTCCTAGGGTTAGAGACAGAAGCTTGACCTTTAGAGTGATAGGAAGTGGCTTTAGCAGCGGATACAGAGGAAGATAAGGTAGAGAGGATGGAGTGGAAGGATGATAGGTCCTCCGGAAGTTTCAAATCAAATTGTATTCGTCACATGCTTAGTAAACAACAGGTGTAGACTAACAGTGAAATGCTTCCTTCCTTCCCAACGACGCAGAGAGAAAGAAAATAGAGAAATAATAGAACAGTAAAACATGTAATAATAAAAGTAATAATTCACTAATTCAGTCAATTATCTTTGGTTTTGTGCGTAATGAACTCCACCCCTCACTGTGTTGTTTACAAAGCTTCTCTGTATCTCTGTGTCCTCAGAGGACAGCATCAGCTTCTCAGATGAGGTGAGCAGTACTCCCCGGGCTATAAGTTGTACTGAAGCCGGGGACGGAGCTGTAGCTGTAACCAGGCCCACGCCGGTGCTGGAACTGCTGAAGGAGCTTCTCCTCTCAGAGTCTCTGGTCAATCAGGTGGGAGCCTGCTTCCTGTTCCTCCTCCAATCACCTGACGGACAACAGACAAGCTATTACGTAGACCTCAGCCAAGGTGAGACAAATAACACACTGTCGTTCTACAGAGTCTTATAGGGCCGGCTTCCCAGACACAAGGCTAGTCCTGGACCAAAAGCATTCTCTGATGATGATGTTTTGCAAACAGTCTTTGGCCCTCCTTCTTTGTCATGTATGTTAAAGGGCTTGATCTCTGTAGTTATTGGAACAGTCTCTTTTCCTCCGTTTGTTTTTACAAGATTAACCTTTTAAGGGCCGGTTTCCGAGACACATGTTCATCCCTCACTAAAAAGGAATTTTCAATAGATTGAGCATGCTTTCTAGTTCAGGGCTTAGTCTGTATTTAGATTCATTATCCCATCCTCTCTGTCAGATATGTTTTATTTTGTATCCAAGCTGCATTTCAGGGTAACAGAGTAAAAGTGAGTTCCCCTCCTCTGTGTGTAGGCAGTGGTTCAGCCGGACCAGGGCCCCCCTCCGGAGGGCCAGGTACCAGACGTCACCCACTCAGTATGACGGACCAGGACCTGCTGGCTATGTTCAAGGGAACCCTGCGACCCTTCGCAGCCTACACAACTGGGACGACTCAAGGTCCAGGGAGGACCTGAAAGACTGCCATGAAGCTAGAGGAACATCATTAAACTACTCAGGCCTTAACCAGAGCCGTATATTACATGTAAATACCTGGTTCTGGCCTTAACAGAGCCGTATATTGATACATGTAAATACATGGTTCTGGCCCTTAACCAGAGCCCGTATATTGATACATGTAAATACATGGTTTTGGCCTTAACCAGAGCCGTATATTGATACATGTAAATACATGGTTCAGGCCTTAACCAGAGCCGTATATGATACATGTAATACATGGTTCTGGCCTTAACCAGAGGCCGTATATTGATACATGTAAATACATGGTTCTGGCCTTACCAGAGCCGTATATTGATACCTGTAAATACATGGTTCTGGCCTTAACCAGAGCCGTATATTGATACATGTAAATACTGGTTCTGCCTTTTAAAACCGTTATTGAAATGAAATAAGGGTTCGGGCCCTTTAAACAGAGCCGATATTGATACATGTAAATACAGGGTTTCGGGCCAACCAGAGCCGTATATTGATACAGTAATAAGGGTTTGGGCCCTTAAACCCGGGCCCGTATTTTATAATAAAACATGGTTCGGGCCTTAACCGAGCCGATATTGTTTAATTAAATCAGGGTTTTGGGCCTTAACCAGAGCCGATTTTGATACATGAAATACGGGTTTCGGGCCCTTTAAACCCAGACCCCGGATATTGATAAATGAAAAAACAGGGGGTTCGGGCCCTTTAACCAAAAGCCGTATAGGGTTTAAATGAAAAATAAAGGGTTTGGGGGCCCTTAAACCAGAGCCCGTATATTGATAAAATGAAAAATACAGGGTTCGGGCCCTTTAACCGAGCCGTATTTTGGGAACTTAAAAACCCGGGGTTCGGGCCCTTTTTAACCAAGCCGTATTTTGAAAAATTGGTTCTGGCCTCCCCCTGTCTTCAGACCTGCCTTTTATACAAATACCAGGTCCTAGATAGGGTTTGCACTTTTATTTCTATGAGTGATCAAAACTCATGTCGTTTTTTCTCTTTGATGTTGTGGTTTAATGAATACATACAGGTCATATATACCATCTCTTTGATGTTGTGGTTTATTGAATACATATAGTTAATAATATGTAATTTAGCAGACACTCTTATCCAAAGCGACTTACAGGAGCAATTAGGGTTAAGTGCCTTGCTCAAGGGCACATCGACAGATTTTTTTCACCTAGTCGGCTCGGGGATTAGAACCAGCGACCTGTCGGTTACTGGCACAACGCTCTTACCCACTAAGCTACCTGCCGCCCTTAGTTCACATATACCATCTCTTTGATGTTGTGGTTTAATACCTGCCACTAAGAAGCTTGAGGATTGATCAATACTAGTTTCATTGTAGCTGTTTATGTAGCTTATCAATACCTTACGGAGTCAATATGAGACAAATATGGAAAGACCATCTCAATATCACGTGTTGTGGATAATACTTAAGATATGAATACATTAACATGGGTGACATGGAATTGTGCGGCCAGCCAAAATAATTAAGGTGTTTTCTTATTTGAAAAAGAATAACGCCAACATCTGTTTTTTTACATGAAACTCGCCTATCAGCAATAAAATGCGAAAGGTTTGGGGCGAGCTTGGGATGAGTTGGCATTCTCCTCCACCTAGATCCACTATCAATTCTCATGGATAAAAAAGTCCCATTACAGAAATTACTACAAGACCCAAATGGAGATTTTTTAATGGTAAAAGGAAACTTTGCACAAGAAAAAAGTTACTTTACTGAATTATTCCCCAAATGAAGACGACCCAAAGTTAATGACCTTTATACTAAAACGATCTCAATGTAAAGACAATATGATATTGGGGGGAGGGGGGTTGGATATGAACTGTGTGGAATGCATTTCTAAACAAGTCAACAACTAAACTATATCCTCTTCCTGAACCAAAAAAATTAAAATAAATAGACTGTAATTTCCCAAAATGGCCAGGAGATGGAGCACTGCTCTGCCTGTCCAGAAAATCTAGCCTAAATAGCTCTCTAAAATAACGTCAATCTCCATACCACTCCTTCCATGCACTATTAGTAATTAAATACTTTACATAAAATCTCCATCTGTATTAAAATGTCGTTTGCTTATTTCTGCCATTTTGGTGCTAGTATTCAATATGTTACATTGCATTGGCTCCATCTCCTGGCCATTTTGAGTAATTCATCCACAGGACTTATTGTGACAGGGCCTGTATAACACGGTTGAGGCCTTGAACCTCTTCCCGACTAACACTTTATGACGATTATTTCACATCAAAGGCCTCGAACCTATTTTATGAACTTTATGACGATTATTTCACATCAAAGGCCTCAAACCTATTTTATGAACTTTATGACGATTATTTCACATCAAAGTCTTCGAACCTATTCCAAGGATTGTATTTTATAATGTCGTACACTGCATAATCTCGTCATGTTGAGGACTTGAACCTCTGACCTTTCTACGTTCGTCTACCAAGGACGTTTATCGCTGAGGACTTGAACCTCACGTCTTAAAAACGTCTATCCTGTCGTCACGGGACTGACATAACCCATCTACCTTACTTTAGGACACGAATCTAACTTATCATAATAAAAGAGCCTACACCCAATGTTGTTAAAACCCATTCTACTACTTCTGTTTTATGTTTGGGGCCTTTACTCAGACCAAACCCTGTATAGAATAATAGCAGCTTATTATCGTCAAATTTAATTAACTCCTTACATCTCATTACATAACTCAATGCAACTCATCGTCCCCCTTTAAAAATATTGAATTTTAAACGTTCGTTACAGTTCAGCTTTACCCCAGATGAGCAGATTTTGACATAATCAAAAAAATGAAAAGTCTGCTTACCTGTTAGTTGAGCTGTAGACTGCATCCTGTTCGTGAAGACGCCAATCTGTTATGATGAGTTTCTGGTTTTGAGAAGTTCAAGATGCAAGAATTTACTTAGACATTCTGTGGAGATTTTATACCAAGTATTTATTGGATCACGAGCTCGTGGGTTCATCTAACCAACGGACATGGCTTTGCCCTTCGTCAGTTGAACTAACTTGAACAAAAAAGACACTCTACCTTATATACCCTTTATTACCATCCTACTGGCAAACATCTGGCAAGTCTCCATGGGCACTCCCTGCCTTTGATATTCATCACTCTTTACCCCAAGTCACTATCCTAAACATCACTCATGCTATCCTAAACATCACTCATGCTATCCTAAACATCACTCATGCTATCCTAAACATCACTCATGCTATCCTAAACATCACTCATGCTATCCTAAACATCACTCATGCTATCCTAAACATCACTCATGCTATCCTAAACATCACTCATGCTATCCTAAACATCCCTCATGCTATCCTAAACATCACTCATGCTATCCTAAACATCACTCATGCTATCCTAAACATCCCTCATGCTATCCTAAACATCACTCATGCTATCCTAAACATCCCTCATGCTATCCTAAACATCACTCATGCTATCCTAAATATCACTCATGCTATCCTAAACATCACTCATGCTATCCTAAACATCCCTCATGCTATCCTAAACATCACTCATGCTATCCTAAACATCACTCATGCTATCCTAAACATCCCTCATGCTATCCTAAACATCACTCATGCTATCCTAAACATCACTCATGCTATCCTAAACATCACTCATGCTATCCTAAACATCCCTCATGCTATCCTAAACATCCCTCATGCTATCCTAAATATCACTAATCTACCTTGACATAATGGAATGTAGACTTCATGGCCCCAAACCACTTATAGTAACTCTACCTCTGTCCTCACAATACTATGACATGACATCATTATACCATAAAAACATCATATCCGTATTCATTAAACCACAACATCAAATCAAATCAAATCAAATTTTATTGGTCACATGCGCCGAATACAACAGGTGCAGACATTACAGTGAAATGCTTACTTACAGCCCTTAACCAACAGTGCATTTATTTTTAACAAAAAAAGTAAAAATAAAACAACAACAAAAAAAGTGTTGAGAAAAAAAGAGCAGAAGTAAAATAAAGTGACATTAGGGAGGCTATATATACAGGGGGGTACCGGTGCAGAGTCAATGTGCGGGGGCACCGGCTAGTTGAGGTAGTTGAGGTAATATGTACATGTGGGTAGAGTTAAAGTGACTATGCATAAATACTTAACAGAGTAGCAGCAGCGTAAAAAGGATGGGGTGGGGGGGCAGTGCAAATAGTCCGGGTAGCCATGATTAGCTGTTCAGGAGTCTTATGGCTTGGGGGTAGAAGCTGTTGAGAAGTCTTTTGGACCTAGACTTGGCGCTCCGGTACCGCTTGCCGTGCGGTAGCAGGGAGAACAGTCTATGACTAGGGTGGCTGGAATCTTTGACAATTTTGAGGGCCTTTAACGAGATGGTATATGTGAACTGTATTTATTCATTAAACCACAACATCAAAGAGATGGTATATGTGAACTGTATGTATTCATTAAACTGTGGAGACAGAAACATCCAACTGAAAGACAATAATCTTATTACTCCCATGTTCACAGGTCATATTCAATAATTGACTTTTTTATTGTAAACTTATTGTTTTTACAACATAGAACAGAAATATAAATACAACATGTAAAGTGTTGGTCCCGTGTTTCATGAGCTGAAATAAAAGATCCCAGAAATGTTCCATACGCACAAAAAGCTCATTTCTCTAAAATGTTGGGCACAAATTTGTTTACATCCCTGTTAGTGAGCATTTCACCTTTGCCAAGATAATCCATCAACCATGACAGGTGTGGCATATCAAGAAGCTGATTAAACAGCATGATCATTACACAGGTGCACCTTGTGCTGGGAACAATAAAAGGCCTCTCTAAAATGTGCAGTTTTGTCACACAACACAATGCCACAGATGTCTCAAGTTTTGAGGGAGCGTGCAATTGGCATGCTGACTGCAGGAATGTCCACCAAAGCTGTTGCCAGAGAATGTAATGTTAATTTCT